CTTTTGTAGTCAGATTTCAGCCATTGTCTTCAAGGAAGCCAGTGAGACAGCTTAAAAAATCATCTTATTATATATACAATTCTCCCAAAACAAAGTCATAAGTTTTTGAAGAGATGAGCATGGAAAATGTTTCAATTTTATCAGTTCACATGCATAGTTTTCCACTGCTTCTACAGGGTACTGATTTAAAGGCCCCTAAGAATACCTACATGAATAGAAGCATCAATCTTTATATACAATTGTATACAATCACGTAGTATTAGTACCGAACATGCACAAGCATTACATATTTTAAATCTATATCTCAGGTATCTTTGGAATAGTCATAATCAACATAGTGTGAAGGATGTGTAAATAACTGTTACAGTAGATTTCCCAGGAAACCATGATGAGAAATGTCATGTACATGCTCCATACAGATGAAATTTAGCTTCAAATATTTTTATTCATTCAAAGATAGTGGAACACATGGATATAGAAGCCACTCACAAAGAGAGACAACTGTAAACATACCATATTATATTACAATAAAATATGTCTCTCCCCAAGGTTTCTCCTGACCAGTGTCATTATTTTTACCCATTACCGTGCTTTATTTAATAATATTAAGCCTTGTAGGATTATTAATTTGTTCCCATCTCTCTCTCTTCACCCTAGGATGTAATGTGTATATAGCAGTGTCCTTTTATCTTTTTAGCATCTCTTATCCTTGGTGCTTAGAAGAATATTAATGTTTATAATGCTAGGCAAAGATTTGTTGGAGAATGTTTCATAGACTATTTAGTATAGCTTTTTCTCATTCACTCATTTGAGTGAAAACCCAAAGCCTACTATTTATTAACACCTTCAAAGCTCTCTCTGACCTGACCCTTTTAGAGCTAGGGAACATCACTGGCAAATCCTAGCTCCCTAGTTGTTCAGTTTGGAATAGTCTCCAATGGTTCACTTCCTCACCTGTTCCACACAGACATTGAAATAGCTTCTCAGTATCACTTGCCCTAGCACTTGCTCTGCACCCTGGCACACCCGCCCCCACC